CGTTGTAGATATCTCGATTGTTTTGTTAGGTGGACGTAAACCTGAGCTGATGAGAGATTTTGATGCAACGTGCGAATTCTTGGATTGACCATCCTTATGCACTTTGTTACCATGGATTTCATCACCAAGTTACCTCGGAATGCCAAACGATTTGATGCAATTTGGGTTATAATGGATCGAGGGTGATTCCGAGTGTTTTCAATGGATAGCTGAGTCGGGTAGTTGGAGCCGAGTAGGAGTGTGGTCTAGTTTAACATGTGATAAGTTAGTATTCGTTGTGATGGTGCACTTAGGTGCAGATTAACATGACGACATTTGGACGAGAAGGTTTTATGCCAATCAAGTCTGTGGGTTTTCGAACAACTTGGTTGTTGTGAGGGGTTACATCATGAAGTGGAAGCGATAGCTGATTTTGAGGACGAAATCTAATTTAAGTAAGGGAGAATTGTAACATCCTGTTTCCTGTCATTTCTTATTTCAGGGCCGTAGGTTGGAATTCGATTGTGTAAAGGCTTTGGGCCATAATGAGATAATGTTAGACCTTTTGGAAGGAGGCAATGATGGTTGCGAGATCTTAACATTTGAATTGTGTTTCAGACCAAAGGGTAGAAAAGGGAAAATCATAAGCTGGGGTCTTGCATGAAATATGGATTTTTGTTCGAGAAGTTTTTAGTCTAAGATATCTAGATAATATTGTGGGGCTCTTCAATACCTTTCTGTGGATATAAATATCATCGAAAACAGAGTTGGAACGAAGAAGTTATGACCGTTAGAAGTTAGGAAGGTTTTGGTAATAGTCTAGTACGCTAGGAATATAGGATGTACGATTGTACGTTGGGCATACTAGGCATGTCTGGTATGCTGGGCGTACCAATAGTACGTTGGGCATACACGATCAGAACCCAAACCCTATTTTCCGGGTTTGAGCCCTATTTAAGCTCCTTAACTTCCCCAAACCCATTCCATTATCAACCTCCACCTCTCCAACACCCTCCCTTGAAACCCTAACCATAGTTTGAGCCTTGTGAGCAAAATAATATGTTTTTTAGTGCTTTGGAGTGTTCTTGGTGCATATTGGAGAAGAAGGAGTTCATTGGAGAAGTGTTGCTTGCATTGGAGCTTGTAGATCCATACCTTGTTCACATTGATCTTTCTTTTGGAGGTATAAAGCTTGAATCTTGATGATGCATTTGTTAGATTTATCTAGTTTTGGATGTTATGAGCTTTTGGTCACTTTAGTGCATAAAGTTTAGATCTTGAAAGTTTGTGACCTTGTTATGGATAAAGTTGGAAAGTTTATCCATCTAAATATCATTTTGATTCAGATATGGCGGTTGGAAACTCGGACTTAATGGATTAAGTAAGAAAGATGCACTTTTGGTCACTTTGAAACTTAAAAGACTAGATCTTAGTTGCTTGTACCATTCTAATGGATAAAGGTAGAAACTTTATCCATTATGGAGCTATTAGGAACCATAAAAATGTGATCTTGGTCCTTCTATACCTTACATGCAAGAGTTATGATGTCTTAATGGATTAATAAGTTAGGGTTTTAGCTTTTGGACATTTTCTAGCCATGGGAAGTCATAAAGGTTGAAACTTTATGACTTAAGTGGATGTTTTGCGTCTAGATCTGAGCTCTAGACAAAAGATCTTAAGGGATGAAGTGTTTAATGTAATGTTAGGTTCAGCTAGCGTACGCTGGGTGTACCTAGGAGTACATTTGGCGTATTGGACTTGAATCGTGTACACTAGGCGTACGTGGAGTACGATGGGTGTACGCAAACAATCTTGGATTTTGGCTTTCATTGACTTTCGTTGACCGTTAACTTTTGACCAAGTTTGACGTTGGGTTAAACTTGAGGATTTGGGCTATTGATAAAGATTTTATCTGGTTCTCGTGTTAGTGGATTCACGGGTGCAAGCAGTACAGAAAAAGGGATCGTATCACAATGTTTCAGAGTTCTTCGATTCAGGTGAGTTTTCCTCACTGTACTTGTGCGTAAAATGCGCCAATACCGGCCAACTAAGTTATGTATCCTGGTATATAGGATGTTGTTATGCTGTAGTGATCTATTAGATCTGTATCCTGGTATATAGGATGTTGCTATGCGGTTGTGATCTGTTGATCTGTCTGTTTGTCTGCTGACTGGTTATATGTTTATCTGATGTATATGTTGATATCGTGTGGTTAGGTTGAGACTGTACTGCTTTGTGTTGCCATTCAACAAACCGACGGCAATCCAACCAGGAGGTTGTGGGCCAGGGCAATCCAACCGGGAGGTTGCGGGCCAAGTTTAATCCAACCAGAAGTTTGTGGACCCAGTATGTAATATGTATGGCAATCCAACCGAGAGGTTGTGGGCTAGGGTAATCCAACCGGGAGGATGTGGACCCAAGGGTAATCCAGTCTATTGACTGATTGGACCCATCATGCATTAGTGTATATGTTATATGTTGTGTGGTGACACTTTGGGGGAACTCACTAAGTTTTGTAGTTACAGTTTCAGTTTATTGTTTCAGGTACTTTAGATGATCGTGGCGAGACGAAGGCTTGATCGTGCACATCCTTCAGATTTTATGATATTCGATCTTGGGATACTTTGATTTGTAATTATAACTTTTGGAAACAGTGTTTTGTAAACAATTATAGTCATTTGGGATACCATAATTTTTGGGATGTTACATTTATAAAAACATAGTTATATAAAATTGTGTAAAATACACTTATGTAAAACACGTTATTATACCCATTTATAAAAACACATTTGTAATTACATGTTTTTATATATACACATTTTTATAGTAAACGTATTTGATATATTTATGCATACAAACATGTTTTTTAAAGATAAATGTTTTTATACAAACACAATTTTATAAAAAAAAAATACAAACACAAATTTATACCAACATGTTTTTTATACAAACATATTTTTATACCAACACATTTTTATAAAAAGAAACAAATGTATACAAACACATATTTTAGAAAAATATATATAACTATTTGATAGTAAACATAAGAGTAAATTACACGAATGGTCCCTATGGTTTGGGGGTAATTTACGTGTTTGGTCTATAACTTATTTTCTTTTAACTTGGAAGGTCACTGTTGTTTGTTTTTATTACACGCTTGGTCGCTACTGTTTGTTTGTGTTACGCGCTTGGTCCTGTATTACCTAAAAAAAACTATTATTTAAATAGAGAAAAATAGTGGGATAAGTAAGGTAAGGTGACGGGGTGGGGTTGGGGTTAGGGGTGTGTTTATTTAAATAAAATAAAAATTCAATGGAAAAATAGTCTTTTTAGATAAGACAGGGACCAAGGGTGTAACAAAAGCAAACTGTAGGGACCTTCCAAGTTAAAAAAATAAGTTAGGGGTCAAACGCGCAAATTACCCTAAACTATAGGGACCATTCGTGTAATTTACTCTAAACATAATTGTATATATTTATGTATAAAAACGTGTTTGTATACAAACGTGTTTACATATTTTTATAATTACGTGTTTATATATATATATATATATATATATATATATATATATATATATATATATATAAACATGTTTGTATAAAAGCATGTTCCTATAAAAATATGTTTGAATAAGTACGTTTTCTTACACACCTTTTTTTTTAATAAAAGTGTTTGTATAAAAACATTTTTTTATAAAAACGTGTTTGTATACATAAATATATACAAATACATTTACTATGAAAACGTGCTTTTATAAAAAAAAATGTTTTTTTTAACTATGTATTTTTCATACAAAATGTTTAAAAAAAAGACTTTTATATAAGTATTTTGGATAAAAGAATGTTTTAAAAAAAATCGTTTTTATATAGAAAAAAAAGTTTTTTTACATAAAAATATGTCTTTTTTTGTGTAAATATGATTTTATACAACAAACAAAAATATTCGAATCAAAATTTTGAAAGAAAACGTAAAAAGCAAAATTTAGGATGAACTTGTAAAAAAATTGAAATCTGGACCAAAAGTGTAAATTTTGAATCAAATTTATAATAAAATTTAAAATCTAGACTAAAAGTGTAATTTTTAAAAGTTTGATAACCTATTGATGGGGGTAAAAAGTCAAATTGAATATAGTTTTCGGTATTTGAGACTTAATTAAATAAAAAATATATAAGAATTAAATCGATTACGAGTTCAAAACATAAAGACTTTTACGAAGTTTTTTCTTTTATTAATAACTATCGATGCTAAATTTAATCAACAAAAAATGTCACTAACATGATACATTCATCATTTTATTTTGCATGTGTTAGAATATGTTATACTTTTCTCACTTCACTCTCATCGATAGTTTACATTAGTTGTTTATGAACTTTCTGTCGATTAGTTCAGATCTTTTAAAACGATTATTAAACACGTTTGTCTAGCTTCTTCTTTTAGTTTTTTTTTTTTTTTTTTTCTCTCTTTTTTGGACACTTTGAAACTCGGTTATTCTTTTACATGTCCTATAAAAATACTATGTGTGGAATTGTGGATATTCATCCACCAATTTTTAATTTTTATATATTTTATAATAGATTGTGCCTATTTATACTTATCTGTCAAAAAAGTTAATTTAACAAACATAACAGAATATAAACGATAGAAATCTAGGACTAAACTGTAATAAAGTTAGGATTAAGATAAAATAATTTTTTTTACTTAGAACGTAAATAGCAAAATGTAAACAGAATTACATGTAAAAAAGGGTATATGCTACCCCTAGGCATCCCTCCATACAAGTCTAATAATGGCTTCGAGTGAGATTTCACTTATAAATTTTTATAAGGATTCTCACCTCTCCATTGGTAGACAAAAAGTTAGGTTTTCCTTCTATCCAAAAATGAACTTTTCCAAAAACTTTATTTTTACTTTATCCAAATCCAAAAATAGCTTTTAAGATGCATTTGACAAATATCTTTTACCTTCTATTAAAATGACTTTTGGCCTCTAAAAAGCTAAGCCAAACCCCCCTATTTTTAAAATTATACTCTAAGTAAAAATATACTGAGTTCAGGCCCTCCGTTTCCATCCATGTTCATCATATAATAAGCTTCCGAGTCACGACTCCCCACGACTCGCTGAAACCTCGCTCTCATGTACAGGAACTCGCCCTCCGACTCTCCGCAACTTCCTCCGACGCTGCTCTTTCTGCCGCCTTCCAACACCGGTAGAACACCAGCTCCCACAGAGACGCTCTGCACCGTGCTCAGTGCATACCAATCGGAGTCCGAGCATGCCCTTGCCGACGCGTACCCACAATTCCTTCCGTTACAGTACATCGTCCATGTGGGCTCGTTGAACAGCTTGATCTCTCCCCGACGACCAGACAACCGGGAGTGTTGTTTTTTCTCGCACTCAAGCGCGATCCGTACTAGCCCTGAAGACATCTCCTTAACGAGCGCCGCCGTAGATATCGATAGTTCAATGATCAGTACTGGTGCGGATCGTGGGTCATATTGCACTGCAAAGCTGACATGTCCTCTCCGGTTTCCAAACAAAGTTCCGGTGACTTTTCGACCGAGCGACGGCGTTGGTGACAGCTGAGTCGGCAAGCTTAGCCACCGGAAGGTGGGAATGATTGCAGGGATTGATATGATGGTTAGAAGCGAGCGTATAAATGTGGAGATTCCAGTGCGGGTTCTGGATAAACGGCTGTATGATAGAGGAGAACTTTTTCCGACAAGGGGTTTGTTATCGTTGATGGAAAAGGGGTCAACGATAAATGCAGTGCAGGTGATGTAATTTGATGGGGCTATTTTGCTGGAGCTGGTCCTGGATAAAGAGAGAAGACTATGATCATGCTTCATTCTATAAGAGTTTGATGATGATAACATGATGATAAACTTTTGAATAGAGGGAAGGGTGGTGGTTCATCTTGTTCATTTGCAATCAATGTATATATATAGACACAGCATGAACGATACATTTCGATATTTTTTCAATTTCATAATATATTTAATTTTATTTAATTAAAAATATAAGTTGTAAGTAAACAAAAAAAGTTTTGAAAAAAAAAGTAATAACACATTAATCGCCAATTTGATAACCATCATTTTATGTAATCAAGAATAGATTTTTATAATTTTGATATTGTCGATCGTTCTGTATATAGTTACAATCGGATGTAATACTTTAACATTTTCATGTTTACGTCTTCGGTAAATTTTAAAAGATTTGGCCAGAGAAGGCACTTCCGATGATGACCACAGAAAGTTATGAGAGGTGGAGGTGGGCTACAAAAAGTTGTGGTCAATAATACATGATTTTAACCTAAAGGTTTCATACCATGATATTAAATAACTTGTTTGATTACTTATGATAATTACATAGAAATATATAAAAAATACATAAACCATAAGAGTTTTGGACTTAAACCCCAACCCTAGACACTAATAAAGGAAACATTTTTAGTAACGATTTCTTAAAAGCTAAATGTTAAAAGATTTCAAAAGTTTTGTGCCAAACACATCCGCATCAGTGAAATATAATAATATTAGATTACATGAAATGTTGATATAAAATTAATTTTGCATGTGTTTATACAACCATTAATATAGAAAATATTTGTTGACATGGTTAAAATGATTAATTGGTGCGGGTATCGAACTGTGCCAACTTCTGCCGATCCCGAGATGCTTTTAAGTGCTCACAGATCTGGACAATTTTCTCCGTGGTTTTTCATATGATTTTCGGGCCTGTGAGCGTGCTATCAGGTACTTGTCCCTTTACAAGCTGCGTGTCACCCACCTTGGCCCAGCACAAGAGTGATCTGCACTTAGGGCTGTAAATGAACCGAACGAACACAAACGGGGCTTGTTCATGTTCGTTCGTTTAAGTTAGCCGAACAAATAAACGAACACGAACGGATAAACGAACGAGTTTCCTTGTTCATGTTCGTTCGTTTAACAAATTACATTGTTCATATTCGTTCGTTTAACAAATTACATTGTTCATATTCGTTCGTTTATGTTCGTGAACATGCTAAACGAACATAAATGAACAAAGATAAAAAAAACATAATTGAAGATATATGAACATAAATGACATATAATACACTAATGTAATAAAACACAATTAAGCATATATGAACATAAAATGAACTTATATGAACAAATGTAAACGAAAAACATAAACGAACGTTCACGAACATAATTGAACGAACGAGACCATTGTTCATGTTCATTCGTTTAACTAAACGAACGATAATTTGTGTTCATGTTCGTTCATTTATTAAATAAACGAGCATAAACGAACTTCCCGCCGAACGGTTCACGAATAGTTCGTTGAACGTTCAGTTCGTTTACAGCCCTATCTGCACTTGCGTCCATATAGGGCTTCGAACGGAGCGACCTTAATGCTGGTGTGATAGCTGTTATTGTAGGAGAATTCGACAAGTGGCAAGTGGGCATCCCAGTCTTTACCAAAGTCTATCACACATGCCCTCAACATATCTTCCAGTGTCTATATGGTCCTCTCGCTCTGCCCTTCGGTCTGAGGATGATAGGCGGTGCTCATATCAAGTTAGGTTCCCAAGGACTTCTGTAGGGACTGCCAGAATCGTGAGGTGAATTTACTATCTCTGTCGGAGATAATAGATAGTGGCACACCATGCAGTCACACTATTTCCTTAATATACGTCCTTGCCAGCTTTTCCATCTTGTAGGTCTCCTTTATTGGCAGGAAGTGGGCGGATTTGGTTAACCTGTCAACGATCACCCAGATGGGATCAAGTCCACCCGCTGTATTGGGTAACTTGGTTATGAAATCCATGGTTATCCGTTCCCACTTCCACTCGGGTATGTATGGTTGTTGTAGTAGAACTGAGGGCTTTTGATACTCTACCTTGACTTTGGCACAAGTCAGGCACTTGCCCACGTAGGTAGCGATTTCGGCTTTCATGTTCGGCCACCAATAAAGTTTCTTGAGATCCAGGTACATCTTATCCGAACCTGGATGGACGGAGTACCTTGTCTTGTGGGCTTCATTCATGATAACGTCTCTATAACCACCAAACTTCGGTGTCCAGATTCGGTCCATGAGGTAGTAGGCTCCGTCGTCTATGACTGTAAGGCTCTTATCCATCCCTCGCAAGGCTTCGTTTATGACGTTCTCGGGTTTCAAGGCTTCCAATTGAGCCTCTTTGATCTGCGAAGACAGGTGTGAGTGGATGGTCATGGTTAGTGACTTTACTCAGCGTCCCGAGTATTCCTTTTGGCTAAGGGCATCTGCTACTACGTTGGCTTTGCCCGGATGGTATCGAATCTCTCATTCGTAATCGTTCAGTAGCTCTACCCATCGTCGCTGTCTCATGTTCAACTACTTTTGGTTTAGAATGTGTTGGAGGCTCTTGTGATCCGTGAAAATGGTGCACTTTGTACCATAAAGGTAGTGCCTCCAGATCTTTAGAGCGAACACTACTGCACCCAGCTCGAGGTCATGTGTGGTGTAGTTCACCTTGTGAGTTTTTAGTTTCTTTGATGCGTAGGCTATGACATTTCCTCGCTGCATAAGTACGCAACCTAATCCTTGATTGGATGTGTCACAATAGACTACGAAGTCTTCTGTCCCCTCTGGGAAGGACAAGACCGGGGCGCTGCATAGAGCTTGTTTCAAGGTTTTGGAAGGCGGCCTCTTGCTTTTCTTCCTAGTTCAAGGTTACACCCTTCTGGGTTAGGGCGGTGAGTGGCTTGGCGATCTTAGAGAAATTTTGTATGAACCTCCAGTAGTAACCAGCAAGGCCTAAGAATTGACTGATCTCCATTGGGGTTCTTGGGGTTGCCCAACCTTCGATTGCCTTGATTTTGGAAGGGTCCACGTGTATCCCTTCCTTGCTGACCACGTGACCTAGGAATTCCACCTTTCGGATCCAGAATTCGCATTTGGAGAACTTTGCATACAACTTCTCCGCCCTTAATGTCTCCAGAACCTACTGCAGGTGTTGACTGTGTTCTTCCTTACTCCGTGAGTAGATGAGTATGTCATCGATGAATATGTGACATCCCCTAATTTCTCGGCCAGAAAAGACCGATTTAATTTATGCTTTTTAAAATAAAATCAGAGCAATCTTTTCAAAAGATGTTGCAGAATAGGTCCCCAAAATAAAACATGATAAAAGTTTATCAAAACCCTTCTTTAAGAAGGTATATATTTTCCATATATATCAAAACCTCGGGATGTCATGTTCCGATACAGATCAAAAGCATAAACAAGACATTATAAGTCTTTCAACAGTTATTTACAACTACTGGCCTATAATCCAAAAAAATCTCTCATCGTCCTCGCACATGGCTCGCACATGCGAAGGGTTGCTGGCCTCTTGTGATTGGACCGAGGTCTAGGTCCGCAGTAGGGGCATCCGTGGCGGCCTTGCGAGGGTTCGGACATGTGCTAGAGGGTACGTGTCGCCTTCTTAGTGGACCACTTCGGATCAGCTCACGAGATCGGATGACTCAGCAGCTCGGACACGTGGCTCGCATGACTCACCAATTTCGGACACGTGGCACGTTCTAAGCGAAGGTGACGTGGCCGAAGCCACCTATGCAAAATTTCTCGGTTTTCGCGCCAAAACTTCTAAAATCCATAACTTTCGCATACGAGCTCCGTTTTTGATGTTCTTTATATGCACGCGTAGGTAAAATTACGCTCTACGACTTTCGTTTAGACTTCCTCGGCTAATTTTGAATTTGATCTTTATATTATTATTTTTAACAGACAGGGAAAGGAAATCCGTTAAAAATTCATAACTTCTTCATCCGACGTCCGTTTTCGTCAGACTTTTTACCGTTGTGCTACTATTTACGAGACCTTCGATTCTCATTTAGGTTGTGTCGGCTAAAAATCACTCGATCTAAAATTCGAGTTTTTAGCTGTCTACTGCTAAGCCGAAACTTCGAAAAATCGTAACTTCCTCATACGAAGTCAGATTTGGACGTTCTTTTTATACCTACTCTCGGTTTAACGAACACTACGAGTTTCGTTTAGATCACTAAGGCTAAAAAGTAGTTTATCAAAAACTCACTTTTTACGACATTCAGCACCGTGCCGGTTTTGTCGTGAAACTTCGACAGGTCATAACTTCTTCGTTATAACTCGGATTTCGGCATTCTTTATATATCCGTAATCCTTGTCACGACCACTACAACTTTCTTAATAGATATCGGCTTTATCTAAAATTTATTTTCGACGCTCATTTTTATTCTTAATTAATTAACTCCTAGTAATTAAGCATAAAAACACATAAAACACATAGAATTCACATAATTCCTTTTCATTTCTCCAAAATGAGTCACAAAGGTTAACCTAGACTATCAAGTCAATATTAATGCCTAGCCTAGAAACACAAGTGTTACAATTCTCTCCCCCTTAGGATGATTCTGTCCCCGGAATCACACATCACCAAACAACTGCGGGTAGCGACTCATCATGTCACTCTCCGTGTCCCAGGTGAGATTTGGTCCATTCGTATGTTTCCAGCGTCCAAGAACTAAATCAACCATCTTGCGTCGCAACTTCATAGTCTTACGGTCAACGATTGCCTTAGGTTCTTCAATTAACCTCTTGTTTTCATCCAACCTTAATTCAGAAATGGGAATTATGTCGGGCACATCTCCCGTGAACTTTCTCAAATAACACACATGAAAGGTGTTATGAATACCCTCCAGTTCTTCCGGTAATTCTAGCTTGTAATCTTGATTCCCGATCCTCTGAAGAACTTTAAATGGTCCAATAAACCTTGGACTCAACTTTCCCCTTTTACCAAATCTTATAAGTCCCTTCCACGACGAGACTTTAAGTAAAACTGAATCTCCAACTTCGAAGGATATCGGTTGTCTTT